TCCCGGAGAATTACGAGATGACAATAACACTACCGTACAACAGAGGGAGGGGGTAGTGATGGCGGGCGAGGGGGCATTCTCGCACCCGCCGTGTAAATAAAATAGGAGTAGATTGGATGACACGACACCGGAGAACTACTTCCCGCGGCGCGTTCGCTACCGAGCGGTAAACAGGCGAGTTGTTAACAGAGCGCGTTGACGTCAGTCGACGTCACGACTACGGCATTCGGTGTCGGCGGTGGACGGCGGGGGGCAAGAACGCTCCCTCACCGGCTACCAGCTTGCCAAGCTGCTGCGACCCGCTCATTGTCATTGTCATGACGCAGTCAGTTGATGTTGAATGAGGAAAGTGGAATGTTATGATCACGATACATAAGTACGATGCTAGATATTTTTAGCAATCCATCTGTTCCCTCTCTCGATCTCCCCCTCCCCGCGAACAAGATTGTCCCTTCTACTTCGCCTCCGCGATACCGTATTCAATCGACAAACGCGTGACGTCAGCGCAGCATCGAATACAACCAATCAGAGTGCATTTTGGTGGAGATTAGAATGCGTGAATGAACAATGCGGCGTGCCGTCACTGCTGTGTTGTGTTCACAGCTGCTCGCCTGCTACGGTCATCTATATCTACAAGAACTGCTACTGCTACAAGAACCAACTCCGCTGCCTTTCCGCCTGTATATCTGCTATGTATTCCGCCGTTTATTGGCCTAGCATGCCAAAAATCGCCACACTGTTGGGTGACCAGCAATAGGGGCGCTTAAGCACATTTAGATCATAGCTAGAGCAAAATATTATATAGAAATAGGATACTTGATTTCAGTGTATGCATTGTAACAATAGGTTGCGCCGGTGAGGGCGGGGTCGCCACAGCATATATATAACACATATAACACGTGTACAGCAGTAACACATGTGACATGATACCAAATAAAAGAAACGCTATAATTGTAATTGGCTCATACCCTTCACATGTAAGTTCTACTGACAAATCACAGTAAATGTATGTGAATAAGACGGCATTCTTTACATTCAAACCCTTTGCTGGAAAGAGAATATCAAGAGAGAGAGAGAGAGAGAGAGAGAGAGAGAGAGAGAGAGAGAGAGAGAGAGAGATCGAGTGAGAGATCGAGTGAGTGATCAAGTGAGTGCGTGAGTGAGTGATCGAGTGAGTGCGTGAGTGCGTGAGCCAAGGTACGGAGAGCTGGGTAGGAGCGGAGGGAGGGAGGGGAGATGGAGCAAAGGATAAGATCCTCTCGCACTCAACTAGAGAGGCAAGGCGGCACTATATTGACCAATCCAACCGGCTTATCTCTACTGAACAGCAAACGCCACGTTACCATGTTACCCACGTACCATTCAGCATGTTACCCCCGCTCTCTGCCATATTAGCGAAGTCTCGCACGACCGAGAGCTGTGCGCATGTCTGAACACCACAGACACACACGCGCGCGCGCGCACGCACACGTACACAAACACGCACACGTACACGCATGCGCGCACACGTGTACATGCACACTCACACACACATGCCCGGACACATGCGCCCTACAAGCCTACGCATGTGACTCTTAAATACGTACTTTCGGCAGTCTATATTCGATCTGTAGTGCGAGTGCTGTACGTTCTAGAACAACAGCCTTGCGAAACTGAGTAAACACTCGAGTATTACCTATACTAGCAGTGCGCGCGTGTGTGCGTGTGCGCGTGTGCGTGTGCGTGCAGCAGCACAATGTACAGCACGATACAAGTGTCTAGACATCATTTCATGATCATTTCTATATAATATCTTCTTCTCTTCTTCTTGAGTCATCCAATATAATATCAAGAGTCCATAATCGAATAGAATAGACTATATATAATATAGATATACTAGATATAGAATAGACTAAACGCGTCATATATATATATATAACATGTGACACTACTAGTACTATCAGTGGAAAAAAGAAAACTGCGTATCCAAGGTGCAATCTTATTTGTTCGAAATGCACTTATCTACGGAGACAGGGATATGTCAGGGGGCAGACAGCGGAAGGGGGAGACGAATGCTTGCGTCGTCGGTACACGCACTAGTCACATGCACACGGGGTTTATCTGCCCACCTTTCGCAATCTCACGGTTCCCTACCGGTTTCACACGAATCATGACAGTCCTACTGTTTGTTCTCGTTTTTGTTGCACTGCAGGCTCAGAGCTGGGCGGGGATAGACACAGCTGAGCACGGCTACAGCTAGCTCTAGTACTATTATATAGTATAGTATATTTATACAGTATTATAGTATTATTATCTTACTCCTGATTATATTATATAGCCCGCGTACAGTTGCCGCAGGCTACCGCTGTTGCGGCAACACTACGCGGGCTATAGTACTAGAGCTAGGCTACAGCTATGTGTGGTCGAACCTCCGAAACTAGAACTATGTGCACACGAAACCGCTCTGCCATCGATCTAAACAACTCGGCAGCGCAAATACGATACGAGGGCGGTTTACTTATGACCACGCGATTCGGAATGCGAAATCAACACGCAGGGTCCACACAGTAGGTACACCGTCGGGCGGTGTCGTACGCACGACAGAGATATATCAATGTTTTAAGTACCAGCCGCACATTTGGGAGCGTGGGCGTGGGGGGAATGGGGATAATGCGGATAATCCTAGACGATTCGTTTAAGAATTTAATGCAATTAATGGTCTGCGAATTCGAACGGTCTAGGAATATAAAGTGCAGCCGTGTAAACCGCAGGCGTGCCTGTCTGTGACTGTTCATACGTACGTGGCCGGCACTCAGGCACGCATTCGTGCCATACGCACATGCAATCACCCACGTATCTCAATCGCGGAACGTATATACACAGATGCGAAACGCCAACAACGTAAAAACCTCTTAGAAAATACGTCTACAAATGTGGGTATTATTATACTGCCATCGCATAGTGCGGCACGCGCCACGTATAGTCACGAAAACATGTACTTTTCATGGCCGACCTAGCCAGCATAGTTGCCATATGGTGTTCCATATGAAGCGCCTGCAACGGCGCATTCGATACAGGAACGAGTCAATTCGCAAGCTGGTACATAAAACGGGAGGGAATTCTCCACCCATCACGTATAGCTACCATTCCACTCTTAGAATGCAAATACGTACGCAAACAGTGCTCGTCGACTACACGCTTACAGGGTGCGAAATTAACGGGAGTCCGGAGTCAAATACTACCTGATTCACTGTCGGACTCCCTGATTTGACATATGAAGGAGGCCGTGTGACTCCCTCTCTTTTTGATGGTACGGACTCCCTTTGTTCGAAAGTTAATTTCTACCCCTGCCGCTTATCATGCGAACTTTAAATTAGTGGGAGAGTGGGCAAGTAGGACCGCCAACGAAACGGCAACGAGGAATAGAAGTTAGGCTGTGTACTCACTCGACGTCATCTGTGCGTTGGCCGTCGTTTCCGTCTTGCAAAATTAAAAAGGTACAAAAATAAGCGCGTGTCGACTTTTATAGAATACGACCGTATGTTGTGCGTATAAGCAGAGAGCGCTGTTTTTACAAGCCTTGGGCTGTTCCCGTGTTGTATTCTAGTTGCTGCGACACTGTCGAGTCAACAAGCGCCGGCCGCACACAGCGCCGCATATATATGCTCCGGATCTCATTTAGCGTATCATTGCGCGCAATGTTGTTGTTGGGCAGCACGCGATAGATCTATACGCAGACAGGGGGTGATAGCGAGAGAGCGAGCAAGAGAGAGAGAGAGAGAGAGAGAGAGAGAGAGAAACATTATTTACGCGTTAACTTTATTTATTTATTAGACAAGGGGAGAGAGGTGGGAAAGGCCGGGAAAGAAAAGAGAGAGGGGTGGGCGAGAGAGAAAAACGAAGGCCATCGCAATCGGCAGTAGATTTTAGAAACCTCTCCACCCAAAACAGCGTAGGGTTCTGTGAGCGTGGACGTCGTATGTGTGTGTCCGCGCGCGCGTATGTGTGTGTGTGTGTGTGTGTGTGTGTGTGTGTGTGTGTGTGTGTGTGTGTGTGTGAGGGGAGGCGATGTCTGGGGCGCAATTAAAGTTCTTAACAATTACCTCTTATTCATTTGGCACGGGCGGGCATACATCGCAATGACTCACTCAGTCGACAAGTAGCTAACTAACCAACAACAAGGCCGTGATAGATCGGCTGCGATGCGTGGCAGCGCAATCGACACGTCACGCCCCCCTCGCTGCCTGCTCCCCACCATTTCTCCCTTCTCACCTTTCCCTCCCCTCCCCTCCCTCTCCTCCGCTTTGTTCTCCCACCCCCTCCCTCTCTGCTTCGTCCGCCCCATCTCTCTCTCTGCTTCGCCCGCACCATCCCCTCCCTCTCTGCTTCGCCCGCACCATCCCCTCCCTCTCTGCTTCGCCCGCACCATCCCCTCCCTCTCTGCTTCGCCCGCACCATCCCCTCCCTCTCTGCT